ACACAATAGTAATTTTTATAATATAACATTTTGTTATTTATATGTTGAATTATTGGATGTGTTGATTTTAATTTATTAGAAATAAGGATGTCGAAGCGGTCTAGTTATTTTAAATAGCCTGTGCTATATATATATATATATATCTGTATGGTATATTTTAATCAGTACCTAACATAATAATATAATCTGGTATTCCCTGATAACCCTGTACTGTCCTCTGTAGAACCAGAACTATGGTTTTTGTTTGGTTTTAGTGGTTAATATAGGCAAACATATAGGCAAATAGTGGTGTTAGGTCCCATCGAGTCACAGAAAAACTTGGAGCTTAAGCACCCCCTACTTCAAATGTCTAGTTGCGCCAATGCTGATAAATAAAATAATTAATATATAAATGTTTGAAATGTTGCAGGTATATCAATAGATATAATTATCTATGGGTGTATATCATATTATTAAAAGTGTTTAAAAAAATGTATTATGTTTGAATAATATAAAAAAATATTTTCATTCATTAAATTACTTKTTTTTAATTACTACACTATTGCATTTTAATATTTACTTAAAGATAACTATTATAATCGTATATAACGTAGCCATTGAATAAAAAAATAATAATAATTTTATTTAGGTTGAAGACTTTTTAATAAATATTTTAATAATAGTATAGAAAATKTATAAATAATTTTTATACACTGATATTTTACAAGAATGATATACATTATACTGAAAATAGTAAAATACTAGTAATTAAATCAAAATTAAAAAACCTTCAAGTAATTTTTTTAAAGCTTTTTGTTGTAGTTTGTTTTGCTCAAGCAATTTTTTTGTGTTTTTTTTTCTTTTGTTAGTTTATCATATTGTGAATTTTTACTTTACTTCAAAACTTATCTGATTGCGCTAAAGGAAGCATTCCTTTTAATCGAAATTCAAACGCCATCGCCATTATTTATTTATTATTTCAAACAAAGTCCATGTAATAATACTTAAATTATTTAATAAAAAGTATGAACTAGGTTAAGTAAAAAATGCCTTCACATTACAACATTGTTGTTAAAATAATACATTATTGTTATTATGGTATATTTATAATTATTTAATGAAATTTCCTGTATTATGTTATAATTGCGTTATTTTAAGATGATATGGATACGCACTTATGCATACGATTGCACATCACAGTATAATAAGTAATAACTCAAAATAATACATTAATGCAAGAATTGAATTTGTGAATTTCTTTAATTAATGTTATTTCGTGTTAAATAATYGAACGCATTCAATATTTTCAGTACGACAGCATAGACAAGAATGATATTTTCACAATAAGTAAGCAAGTATAACTCAAAATCGTCAATTTTTGAGATCCCAAACTAATGTTCTCACATTGCGCATCGATACTTCTAGGACTCGAGCATGGTATATATTATATGTATATGTATATWGCTATAGCCCATAAGGATATAGGCATGATGATAAAAATAATAATGCATAACAACRTAACTTTACGTAAATATTACTCACAGCTAAAAGCAAAACAGTTTCTTTTTGGTTATCGTTGGGTATCGCTAATTGATTATTTTCGCTCTCCAATTGTTTTAAATACGAATCGATAATTGATAACTGCAATATTATAGTAATTTTTATGCTTTAATAATATCTGTTCATTTTTGACATAACGTAATATTTAATGGTACGAATGTAAATGGACATAAAATGCATTAATATTTCAATACGTTCACACATCACACATTATATGTACCTATATATACTGTACCTATAAATCGAAGTGTATATATTTATCATAATGCGCAATCGCGTGTAATTGCGTGTAATTTATACATCTTACAATTAATATTTATTTTTATTAATCAATAGTTATTGAAAAAAAAACTGATTAGTTTTCAATTCAGTGATGGTAGAATTCACAGATTAAGGCAATTAATTACAAATCCTTTTTGCCCATTGTACCTCATATATTTAGAATCTATATGATGCCTACGAACAAATGTATATCCATACACATGAATCATATATACAGACGCGTTAAGCGTGCCAATCATCATCATCATCATCATCATTATATTATTATTATTATTACCCGATTATCGATGGCCGGTATCAGTGTTCTAATGTTTAAATGACTAATCAATGTATATTATATATATATACATATATAGATTAATATACTGCATTTTTTACGGTATAGTATATACCTACCATATCGGCAATGTACTTTTCGACGCGTTTCATCGATTCCTGATGCAAACCAACGCAAAGTTGTTGTTCGGCGAATCGTTTTTCTAGCTCATTGAGTTCAATAGCTTTAATGTCCGCGTCCGTCTTCAACTGGTCGATTTCACCCAAGTTTTTACCGATCTGCTCTGCAAAGTGCCGTTGATTTTCAGCCATCTGAAAATAATATTGGTTCTTCATGTACTCGGACACCTCCATTATTTCTGTCATGATTTTTTTATTTTCACACGCCTCTTCGACAGCGGTCTCCAAACCGTTCACTGTCATTTCAAACTGATCGACGTGGCTATGGATTGCCACCATTTTGTCAACAACGGTTTTTAAGCACATTACATTTTCCAATTCATTTTTTATTTTCATATAGTGTATTTTTTCTATTTCGTTTTGAACTCTATATAAATACGTAAAGGTAACGATAACGTAATAATATTATATTATATAATAT